GGCTAGACGACTGGGTCAGAGCATTTCCAAACCTGCAGCTCTTGTGGGGTGTTCCCGGTCTGCAGAGGTCAGTACCTATCAAAAGGGGTCCAAGGAAGGAAAGGCAAGCCACCAGGGTGCCCAGGTGGTCAGAATGTTGCGGCTGAATAGTGTATATTAGTCATTTAAAAGCAAGTAGCTTGAGGTACTTCCACAGAAGAAACATATATCGCTATGATCACTATGTTCAGGTTGTTTACTTCATACCTCACCAATGGGAAACTGGTGCTACCTGTACTGCAGCTGTGTGTGTGTGCTTGTGTTTTGGACATGCTAAGAATGCTCTGGAAAAGGTCCCGTTTTCATTCTTCAGATCCATACAGGTTAGGGTTAGAATTAGATTTACAGTAGCTTTAGGTAGTGGTTAAGATTGGTTTTAGATTTAGGTAAGGCGACAAATACATATAATACACGGCCCTTGCTGGTAGCAGTGTCTGTGTGTGGGCTGCTTCCTTTCAGACATACAACAGACAATGAGAGAGACAGACAACTACAATTAAACTAATTCAGCAATTACACTGCATAACAAGTGTATCTCTGACACACATTTTAGCTGCTAAATAAACAGTCGGTGACACTGTGCACGCGCAACACAGTGCCTGAGTCACAGCAAATAACCTAAGTGTCTCACAAGTTATTAAAGAGGTACTCCGCCCTAAAATGTGTTTTTGAAGCTATAAACTGAATTATAAGACTGTACTGTTATGAGTGTTGGTGTTAATATTGACATTCTCATCCAATTTATAAAAATCTGAATTTCATGGCTTTAAAAATGGCTAAACAAGACATCTACTGTTATAATATATTTTGTGGACACGGACAGTCTGATAACAGCTGCTCATGGCTGGTCACTGCTATGGTCGGTTTGTGAATCTCTCGGTGTAAAGATGACTTGCAGGTTTGTTGCCATATTTAACATTCTAATGATCACCTCATGGTCAACAGATGGAGTCTAAATGTTCCAACCAAACCTGAATTTCCTGATCTTGCGAAACCACTCACTTGTATTGTTTCAGTTAGGAGGTTGGTGTGGGTGTGTGTATAAGTGCAGGAGGCGTGTGTGCAACACTCACTCCTACAACTGAGGCAGTTCTTGAATCAGGTTAGTAGCAGGATTAGTTTCAGGTTAGGTTACTGTAAAACAACATCATAAAAATACAGTTTTTAGCTTTAATTTGACATAAAATCTTGTGTTATTTTTGGGCTTTTTAATGTTTTAAGATATTTACATATGTAAAAACAATGGGCTTAAACAGGCTTAAATCTACAGAAGAGTGTTATTTTATTTTTCTTATTTTAATCTGAATTTATAGAGTTATAAAACTGTAATAAAAGTCATTATCTGTGAAATTACAGTAATTATTTCTGTTTCAGTGATAAAAACGCTACTTTGAGACTTTACCAATGCTTATACACTGACAAAAAACATTTATTTAACGTTTTTGTTGTGAAAACATCCAGAATTATACAAGATATCTTACAAATCCATCTAAAAATGACAGAACAAATACTTTTTTTTTTTTTACTGTTGTCACTGATTTTACATAATTTTAGAAATGTATTAACAGTATTAAACTTGAATTGAACAGTATTAAACTTAAATTTAACAGTTTAATCTATTAAATTAACAATAAATATCAACAAAAAAATGATAGATTTGCTTTGGTCTTTTTATGTGAAAAAAGGAAATCTTTAAGTCTTTAAATAAGCAGTAATTTTAGGATTATTTACAGTTACAGATTGTTCCCCTTATTTTTCATTAGACATGTAAATTCATAGGCTATTTTTGAAATTTTAATAATATTGCAATGTATTAATTATAAATACAGAAATAAATAACACCCCAGTAAATTTACAGATTTGTTTTACAGTGTAGGGTTAGATTAAAGGTCCAGTGTGTAACATTTAAGAGGAAATGTAATATAATATTAATAGGTATGTTTTTATTATTGTATATATATCAATGAGAATCATTTTTATCTACAGAGGGAGCAGGTCCTCTTCTATGGAGGCCACCATGTTGAAAGTTACCAACATAGTCCTCCTGCCACTAAATCCTACAATTGGCTTTTTGGGAGTTCCATCACCAAACATCAATAACAGCATAAGTACTAAATCCCCCTCCACTCTGTAGATTGATTACATATAAGGCACTTTATGACCATGCACCCAATTACATTTCAGATCAGATGTGGCGGCTGTGGCTCAGAGGCAGAGCGGGTTGTCCACTAATCGGAAGGTTGTTGGTTTGATTCCCAGGTCCTCCTGCCACATGTCGACAGTATTTTGCATTACCATACGGAACCTGTTTGAGTTGTTTCTTACAATGCCCACAAGTACGAAAAATTAGTAGATTACAAAAAGGATCAGACATCAAGTATATAGTATTTCTGTCACAGTGGTTATATACCCTGAATTACATATTTCTTTCTAAAGCCAACACTATTTCTCTTACAGCTTAATGTTGGATGGCCATGGCATTGGCTACTGCCTTCCTATCTGAAGACCAGTTCACCTGCTCAATTTGTCTGGAAGTGTTCAACAACCCAGTGTCAACACCATGTGGCCACAGCTTCTGCCAGGCCTGCATCTCCTCCTACTGGGACAGAGGAAGAGGAGGAGGGGGCGCTGCCAAGTCCTACCAGTGTCCCCTCTGCAAGGAGTCCTTCCGCAAGCGACCAGAGCTTCATATCAACCGAACCCTGAAGGAAATCACTGAACAGTTCAAGTGGATGGCCAGCTCTGGACTTTCAATGGATGGAAGAGGTGGAGGGGGAGTGGAGGATTCCAACTCGCATCCTCACCATCATCATCATCGCCCGAGCCTGTCTCTGGCCCAGAAGCCGGCGGAGATGCCGGAGAGCGTATTTGCTGAGATGATGACTCGTTTTCAGCGGCTGCAGACTCCTGGGGTGTCTGCCACCACCTTTCTCCCTCCCAGTGACTCTCACCCACAAAGCCCCAGTCCAGTTAATGCTCATCTGTCTTTCCAGGGTCAGAACAATGAGTACAACGACCCGCCTCCACCCTACTCATCTCCCCGCAGGTACCAAACTACACTCTTTAGTCGATATTTAAATGGGTTGGATTTAACCTTATCTGTAATGCTCCACAAGGAAAGGATATTACTAAAACACAGAAGAATGGAAGTAAAGTGAAGCATAATCATGTAGAGAGAGTTTTTTTTCAGCAACATCCTACCAAGTAACAATTATTTATTTTCCTGCAAATCATTTTTTTTACTAGAGCCTAAGCCTAATTTCAAGGTTCTATATTTTTCTGAGATTCTTTGCCTCTTTCAGCTTTTTGTTTTGGTTTTATGGCCTGTAATTTGTTCTTTTGGTTCAGTCTCACAGCGCTCATCAGAGTTCCCGCAGCAGCAGGCAGCTGTTTTCAGTTTTTAAAAAAGTCACTGTTCACCACCTGTCCAGCACCAAACAGCACAAAGACAAATTTTTGCTGGTAACAAAGTTGAGGATTTAGCAGCTAAGAGACATTTCTCAGAAGTTGGTGGAGACCAAAGCAGAGTGGGATGGAGAGGCCCCATTGGTCAGGTCCCATTCAGCCAAAAGAGCATTTGTGAGGTCCAGTACCGGTGTTGGACGGATGGAAGGCCTGGCTCGTGATTCCTCATTCTTTTATGGGCCTCGCTTTGTGCCCAACTGGCTAAATTGTCTTCGTATACTGTAACATTAAGAAAACCCTTTACTGGAACTAAGTGGTATAGCCCAAACCCTGAAAAACTGTCCATCATCCCTCCTCTACCAAACTTTACAGTCAGCACTATACATTCTGGTACAGTATCAGCCAAGCTCACATTAATCGATCAGACAGCCACATAGTGAAGCATGGGTCAACGCTCCAAAAACAGAGTTGTGGCATGCTCTACACCACTGTCTGGCATTGCACATAGTGATGTGAGGCTTACATGCCTGTTCTAAATTCTAAATGTTTATCTATTGGAGATTTCATGGCTATGTGCTGGATTGTATGCATCTGTAAACTACGGGTGTGGCTGAAACACCTGAATTCAATAATTAGTAGGGAGTGTCCACTGACTTTTTGCGATATGGAGTACATCAAGTGCGTGTGTGATGTTCAGCTTGTTTTGGAGCTCAGGCCCCAAGTCTAAAAAATCCCCATAAAAATACACACACTGTATACAAACAGCTAATATAGAGTAGCAAACATATAAGCTCACATTAATCACTTTATTGGCTGTGGCTATGATAGCAGCAAAACTGACAGTAACCTCAACGACAATATCATGACTTGATATTAATGTTACAACAGGTACACTCTGAGCGGCCCCAGTGACTCCTCCCCCAGTCTGCCTCTGTGTCCCATCCACCTGAGAGCTCTGGAGTTCTTTTGTCGGACTGACAACACCTGTGTCTGCAGCGTTTGTGTGGAGGCAGCAGAGCATCGATTACACCACGTCATCCCTGCCAAAAGAGAGTGGCACATCAAGAAGGTATTTATCTGTGTGTCTGTATATGGCAGTTGGTTAGGACAGTTGTCTAACTAGGAACAAATCTGGTGTTTTCACTGCAACTGCATTATCACAAGACAGATTTCAACGAGATTATTCAAACATTAAAACATTTGTGACTTTGTCTTGGCTTGTCTGATCTAGCTACAGACAAAAAACATAATGATCATTTGAAAGATGCTATAACCACGAAAATATCCTATACATAGATAGTATACAGTGAGGGCAGGGATCAGCAATCTTTACCATGAATAAAACGATCTTAGCCAAAAAAGGAAAGTAAAATCTTTCTGGAGCTGCAACATATATTTTTGAGCCTTATAATGCTAATTTCTCACTGCAAATCAAACATACCAGTAAATCAGCAATGTTGGTGGCGAATGCAAACAAATTTGTCCATGCACTATTATACTATATCCTGACAGTAGAACATGAGACAAATAAGTTGTGAAACAATCTGGTTCCTCTGACTCCTCCTAGTGCTCCTAATGGCATTTGGCGATCAGAGCTGAGAAAGAAAGAAAGAAATATAAAAATCCTTTGGGTTGGAGGCTTGAAGATAGTTGATTGTTGAGTCTCATTCCCATCTGTATCTGACGATTTGGGAATGAGACTTAACAATCAACTAGCTTTCTCAGCTCTGATTGGTTGTTTTTATTCAGGCCCGGTGAATTCTTGCAAATACCATTAGGAGCACTAGGAGGAGCCAGAGGACCTGATTGTTTCACAGATTATCTCTCCCATGTACTACTGTCAGGATATAATGAAAGTATCAATAATATTATATAATATATAATTTGCATTTGGCATAGCTAGCCTAGCTAGGGAGACTGAAGACTATGAGCTACCACTATTCAGGTTCACCAAAATATAGAGGAAAAGACACCAGGTCAGGACATAACGTATAATGTAGATTTTATTTGACAAAATGCTAAAACATTTTTATTTGGTGTGTATTGGCCATGCATTACAAACACACACACACACACACACGGAACAGGTGCAATACTGCAAAGATTAATACAAGCAATCATGCTCTTTTATAGCCAAATGTGCAGTCCTAAATTTAACAGGTGGGTGCAAACAAATGAACTTGAACAAACAAAATGCTTATTGACCATCCTGTGCTCTTTTTGCAGCCATGGAAAGTCTATTAAAGCTTGTATATCACACATAGTGTATGCACATCTGGTCAGAATATGTGACAGGCTTAGGATAAGGCTTTTGGTTATAGACACATTTAGGTTAATCCTCATCCTTTTTTTTTGTCCTCTCCAGTCCCAGTTAGGTATTTCAGAGGTGGAGCTGAAGGATCTAATCGGTGTCAAAGAGAGGAAAGTGGAGGAAATGCACACCTCCTTACGAGAGATACAGGTGAGTTTTCAGTCTGTAACAAGCTGGATTATTTTTCAGGTCTAGAAGTTTTGATTTATTGTCCAATTTATTGTTTCCTGTGGCTGTGGCTAGGGAAGTAGAGCGTCGTCCATTAATCAGAGGACTAGCGGGTCAATTCCCACTGCATGTCGAAGTGTCCTTGAGCAAGATAATGGACCCCAAATTGCTGTGTGAATGAATTAGTTTCTTTATGATGAGTAGTTGGCAGGAGCCACTGGGACATGGTATCTTTGGCACAGGAACAAGGGAAGATGTCTTTCACACCACAGGGACCCTTTGAAGACTCAATCAATCATCAATATGATAATCCAGCCTGAGTGTTCCCATGAGGATTCATGATGTTTCTCCAAGACTTATTCTTCTTCTTCGCACTATTTGTCTGGGATTAGTCCCCAATTTGGCCAGTAAAACATACTTCAACACTGTAAAAGTTTTTAAATAAACTAATCATAATCCATGATAATTTACATTTCTTCTTTAGAAAAAACTGAAATTTTTGCAACTATTTAATTTCAAGCTTGCAAATATTGGAAAATCAGGTTCACAACTGATTCTGAACTATTTTTGAAATACAGAATTCTTTGTAAACATTCTCTAACAAAAGATTATTGGTCTGCAAAACTCTTTTAGTTTATTTCATAATCAACTTGTCTCTTTTAGAGAAAACCTGCCATGAGCTCATAAAAGTATCCGACTTGACAAACTTCTAGTGGGTCCCCTTAAGCAGCTCGCATTCTTTGCTGTTCATCTTGTATTCAGGCTGCTGCAGAAAGAGAGACGGAGGGAGCGGTTTGTGCGTTTTCCAAGCTGATCTCCAGTGTGGAACGCTGCCAAGCCGAAGTCTTGGAGGTAAATAACACTGATGTGGGAAGTAAGTGGAATCCTATAACAAAAACAAAAAAAAATCAAGGCCTTTTCATTTTTTGCAGCACACTGAAACAGCTATTCTTTTCTTGTGGATTTTATAACATCAGTATGCGTATACAAGGTCAAAATATTACTTATGTGAATGTATGAATACCTATTTAATGTGAATAAATGAAAACTGTGGGAAGTTGTTATTGAAACTGATGATGACGGACGTGTTTCTGGCAGTTCACTTTGAGGGTGCAACATATTTACTGAAGTAAAAAATCTGAAGTTCTCTGACTGTTAACAGAAATGAGCATTTTGAACAATATTATAAATAAACAACCAATCAGAGCCAAGAAAAATAAAAAACAGCTTTTGGTTGGAAGCTCGAAGAAAGTTGATAATTGAGTCTCATTCCCAGTATCAGTATTTGACCAAAATATCTGTCTCAAGTACTACTGTCAGCATATAGTGAAAGTTTCAGCAAATATGACAGAAAGTTATTTGTATAAAAGTTACCTACTGCAGCTTTAACTAGGCTACATGGTGTACGTTTGTCCTGTTCCTCCAGGTGATCGAGATGAGTCTGCGATCGGCTGAGCACAGAGCTCAGAGCCTGCTCAGAGAGCTGGAGGAGGAGATAGCAGAGCTAAAAAAGAGGAGTACAGCACTGAGCCAGCTGGCAGTGTCTGAAGACTACATACACTTTCTCAAGGTATGGATAAATGACACAGGAGCATACAAGAAAACACAGAAGAGATAAATATGCAGGACTAGTTGGATTCAATAATGAATCCACTATGAAATTAATTACTTTTAAGTGAGATTTCCATGTTTTTTCTAATTATAAAGCAGGTCTAGGCGCTATATATGCACTGTGACCGCCCATACACCCGGCAGACTCGAGCAGGGCTCAGCTGTCAGTCATGATGTAAAACCCCTTTTTATAGCTTCAAATAGCTAATTAAAACCAACCTGATCAGAAAAAGGAACATTTGAACACACACCAGTGTGATGAGAACTACCTCAAATGACAGAAACATCTTTGGATTTTATCTTTTTTAGTTTGGCTGTCTCATCTGCTAACATGGAGGCAGCAGGCTTTATGACCTATACTGCAATTAGCCACCAGAGGGCGACAAAGATTTGTTTTGTCTTCACTTTTGGAGA